ACCAATTCTAAAGATATGGAAAATACAGAGACGGTTAGCCCATATTAGACAAAATAACATTAAATATAACGTGGACACTTGATGATACTTGTACAACATAATATTTTTATTTTTTTTTAGGACCATGCAAAATCACTGAAAAGTGCAATGCTTGGCAGCAGGGTGCGGATGCTGCTTTTTTTGTTCTGGAAAAAGTAAACAGTGAGAAAAATGTGAGCGCTGCAGTGTGACAGTAGCATATCAAAGACAACACATCAATGAAAGAGTCTGGAGATGGTCAAAGCCACACCAGTCTTCTTTAACCCGTCTACTAGAGACGGTCTTTACAAGGAATTCATATTCACTAACAAAACCTATCCAAGCATGAAAATTCTGTTCTAGATCAACATATCTTACACCAAAAGGCATCTTGTCAGTCCTTGATTGACATAACAGCACATTCAGTAGTGTCAGATGCTGTCACATATTTTTGCCTTAAAAATGCCTATTTCATTGTTTCTTAAAACATTTAAAATATTGCAAGCTGAATGATAGAGCATGGTAAACGAACTGTGTGCCGTTTGGAGTCAAATAGTATGTTCCACTGAATGCAGAGGTACAAAGTTTTGGGTGAATCTCATGAAACCTGAAAAAAACAACAAAAAAACATGCAATAGACTCTAAAATCCAAAGGGAAAAAAAGCTATATATTTTGCATAAAGAGGATAAATAATTAATTAAATAAGTAATCATTTAAAAATAATTATTTATAAATCATTATTGCAATAATTTCTAATACATTATATATATATATATATATATATATATATATATATTCATGTATATAAACACATCATCTGTTATTACTACCTTTAATTTAGACTGATTTAAATAAAAACATATTACAACGTTGTGCTTACTTGTCATGAAAATAATGTCACTATGACAGAAATATAAATGGTCCTAAAAATAGGCTTTATTCTCTTCATGCAAAACATACTGCATGTTTAGTTTTAGGAATTTGTTCAAAATAAAGTTATATAATATTAAATGTGACGTGGTGACATACAAGATTCCCCTGTATTCATTCAAATGTCTTTAAAATGTGCCAGAACTTTCTTCAGTTAAACAAGGAAAAAACTGAAGTCATTGCATTTGGAAACAAAGATGAGGTTCTCAAGGTGAACGCATACCTTGACTCTAGGGGTCTAACAACTAAAAGTCAAGTCAGGAATCTTGGTGTGAGACAGACCTTAGTTTCAGCAGTCATGTCAAAGCAGTAACTAAATCAGCATATTATCATCTCAAAGACATTGCACAAATTCGATGTTTTGTTTCCAGTCAAGACTTGGAGAAACTTGTTCATGCCTTTATCACCAGCAGGGTGGACTATTGTAATGGTCTCCTCACCAGCCTTCCCAAGAAGAATTCTTCGCTGCTGCCAGAATTCTGACTAGAAACAGAAAATCTGAGCATATTACACCAGTCCTTAGGTCTTTACACTGGCTTCCAGTTATATTTAGGATTGATTTTAAAGTACTTTTACTCATTTATAAATCACTCAATGGCCTAGGACCTAAATACATTGCAGATATGTTCACTGACTATAAACCTAACAGACCACTCAGATCATTAGGATCGAGTCAGTTAGAAATACCAAGGGTTCACACAAAACAAGGGGAGTCCGCTTTTAGTTATCATGCCGCCCGCAGTTGGAATCAGCTTCCAGAAGAGATCAGATGTGCTAAAACATTAGTCACATTTAAATGCAGACTCAAAACTCATCTGTTTAGCTGTGCATTTATTGAATGAGCACTGTGCGATGTCCGAACTGATTGCACTATATTTTATGTATAATCATTTTTTATGTATAATCAATTTTAAACCTCTTAAATCAATTTTTAAATCATTTTCAAAGTTTTTCAATTCCTTGTTTTATTGTTGTGATTTTTTGTATTTATTATTATTTTCTTTTCTTTGATGTAAAGCACTTTGAATTACCATTGTGTATGAAATGTACTATAAATAAACTTGCCTTGCCTTGCCTTTAAAAATTAATAAATTGCAACCAAGTACTCACACCTATCCAGCTATTAAAATAAACGGAGTCTGATAAGCTAAGGCAGTGTATTTGTGTATCAAACACTATGAGAAAATCTCAAATCATTCCACTCTCAAAGAGAAACTGAAGCTACAACATAATCCTACTATTTTATATGCTTTAAAGGAGCATCAGGTCAGGCTATTCTGCTCTTAATGCACAATAAAAGATGCCGTTTGTAAAGATAGCAGCTTCATTAAAGATCACCCCCCACTTTACCCAACAGATATTTAAATACAGTACAAGTTTGAACAGATACACACAGAAATAAACCAAACTGAACACATTAACACCAAGGAAATAATCTCATAATCACTGGATTTATGGCACTGGCGGTGTTGTAGACAGTTCCACTATTTGTAATTTCCAAAGTCGGTTCACAGTATTGTCTTAAAACATCTTGTAGATTCTAAAAATATATTTCTATATTTATAGATCGGGTTGTGTACCACAGTATTGTTGAGGAAAATAATGTGTTTTTTAACCTTAAACCGCATAAACACATTTCATTACACCAAATACACAAAATAATGTTATTTTAGCAACACCATATGACCCTTTTAATGCAGCTCAAGTGCTGCAGTCATTAAAGCAAAAGAAGCACAAATCAAATCCTAAAACATGTCTGAAATTCATGCACTTTGAAATTAAGTCTTTCAGATGCTGATAATGTAATTTGCTATTTATTTATTTTTTGGCCTTGAATAGAAATTAATGCAAAATAAAAGCATTGTCACTAGTGATCTCACACCTTTGGACCAGACTGTAAAAGTCAAGTTTCTGAACCAGCACTAAAATTTTAAATATACAGCCACCAAGCAGTTTGTGTTGCAGATTACTGCATTTTAATTGCACCAGGCTGTTCAATTGTCTTTTGTTGGCTTGGTTCCCCTCTCAAGACGGCTTTGCAGTCAACCTGTCACTTATTCGTGCAAATATGTTCAACACGTGGACTAAATATCTAACATCAATGTAAAATTGCACCAATTGCATTTCTCTAAGAACAGGAAGTGTGCTTAGAAAATTAACAACTTCGTGTTAATTACAAAAGAAAAAATAATAATAAAACAACACAAATTTGCGTCAGTAATATTATGCATTTATTAACCACGCCATCATAAAACATAAAAAGTGACAGCTAGGGTTAAGACCATGAGACTATCGGTGCACTTCAATGTAATGAACAGCTGCCGCTACTCTGCCTGCATGATCTTTAAACTTAATGACAAAATCAAACATAAATCAGTGCTTTCCCATAGGCTCGATCCTGCCAGAGCAAAACCAAGCCTCTCTATTAGGAAATGACATGAATAGTTTAAAGACAGCGCCTGATATAAGCTCGACTCACCCGTGAACTCAACAGTAAATCCGACCAAACCAGCTGCGCTTCTCGGTTCGCACCCCACCCTCCAGCGCCTCAGAGAAGCATCAGCACCACCGCCTATCCACCCGCTGCCGCTGATTGGCGGACGCTCATTCATCCCTCCCGCTGATTGGTTGACAGATAGAAAGGCCGTTGTTTTATTCATTGGCTCCTCCCTCTGTTCAGATGAATGGCTGACGGAAGCAACGGATGTTGTCTTTCTCGACCAATGGGAATGCAGTGCGCTGCTCGTTGAAAAATGGAATGTGGTTTCCTGATGTTTTAGAATCTGCCTTTGTTTCATTGTAAGATTCCTGGTAATTCCTGAATTATGTAGCAGCAGTGCTGGGTAGTAACCGATTACATGTAATCTGGATTACGTAATCAGATTCCAAAAATTAAATGATGTAATTATATTAATGTTTAATGCACTTCATGTTGTTAATTACAATGAATGGAATATATTTTCTTACTCTTTGTATTTTTATATCTCTCTGTATGGTGCAAGATTTGTATGGTGGTGTATTTAAATCAATGTGATAAAAGAGGTTAGGTCAAAAGTAATCTAAAAGTGATAAAAAAAAAGTAATCTGATTATAATACCTAAAATGTGTAATGTAATGGATTACGTTACTAACTACAATTTTTGTCATGTAATTTGGAATCAGTAACGAACTACAATTTGTAAGTAATCTACCCAGCTCTGTGTAGCACAGTCCAGTCTAACAAATCAATATTTACAACACATAAAACACATGGCATTACTGTCACATTGTAGTAGCCATAGCACGCAGTAAAATAATCACTTGAAGCCTGTTTACATGCAAATGTAGGCCTGACAGGGGTCTCATTCACAGGGTTATTATAAATAAAAGTAAAAGCATAAAAAACATTTAAAAATGCTTGAAAAACAATAAACGGAAATAAAATTAAATATACAAAAAATTTAATTTATTTTTAGCCAGTTTCCAATAAACATTTCTTTTTTTTAGTTCAACTAAAAGTACTAAAATAACTCAAACTGAAATACAAATGTATAAAAGCTATATAGCCATATATTTTAAAAGAAATGCTAAAATAAAAAAACCCACAAAATTACTACAACTTTAACTAAAATTAAAATGAAAACAGAAAATATAAAAATAAAAACGAATTAAAATCATACGAAAATAATGAATTTAGATTATTAATAATTAAAGCTGTGAGAACGTCCCAAATCATGAAATAATTTTAGGAAAAATATATATATATTTTTTAAATGTCATTAATTAAATTTGCTTAATATATGTTTAAGTTCATTTTAATGTGATTTTTATTGTTTTATGGAAAAATATATCAAATTATTCAACAAGGACATCTAGTGGCCGTTGTGTATATTGTATCAACAGATGACAATTCACAAAGTTAGAATATCATTGTTTGTGTGCAAAATTATTTGAATTTTATATTATATCAGTTTTAACCAACATGGAACCAATTCTAAAGATATGGAAAATACAGAGACGGTTAGCCCATATTAGACAAAATAACATTAAATATAACGTGGACACTTGATGATACTTGTACAACATAATATTTTTATTTTTTTTAGGACCATGCAAAATCACTGAAAAGTGCAATGCTTGGCAGCAGGGTGCGGATGCTGCTTTTTTTGTTCTGGAAAAAGTAAACAGTGAGAAAAATGTGAGCGCTGCAGTGTGACAGTAGCATATCAAAGACAACACATCAATGAAAGAGTCTGGAGATGGTCAAAGCCACACCAGTCTTCTTTAACCCGTCTACTAGAGACGGTCTTTACAAGGAATTCATATTCACTAACAAAACCTATCCAAGCATGAAAATTCTGTTCTAGATCAACATATCTTACACCAAAAGGCATCTTGTCAGTCCTTGATTGACATAACAGCACATTCAGTAGTGTCAGATGCTGTCACATATTTTTGCCTTAAAAATGCCTATTTCATTGTTTCTTAAAACATTTAAAATATTGCAAGCTGAATGATAGAGCATGGTAAACGAACTGTGTGCCGTTTGGAGTCAAATAGTATGTTCCACTGAATGCAGAGGTACAAAGTTTTGGGTGAATCTCATGAAACCTGAAAAAAACAACAAAAAAACATGCAATAGACTCTAAAATCCAAAGGGAAAAAAAGCTATATATTTTGCATAAAGAGGATAAATAATTAATTAAATAAGTAATCATTTAAAAATAATTATTTATAAATCATTATTGCAATAATTTCTAATACATTATATATATATATATATATATATATATATATATTCATGTATATAAACACATCATCTGTTATTACTACCTTTAATTTAGACTGATTTAAATAAAAACATATTACAACGTTGTGCTTACTTGTCATGAAAATAATGTCACTATGACAGAAATATAAATGGTCCTAAAAATAGGCTTTATTCTCTTCATGCAAAACATACTGCATGTTTAGTTTTAGGAATTTGTTCAAAATAAAGTTATATAATATTAAATGTGACGTGGTGACATACAAGATTCCCCTGTATTCATTCAAATGTCTTTAAAATGTGCCAGAACTTTCTTCAGTTAAACAAGGAAAAAACTGAAGTCATTGCATTTGGAAACAAAGATGAGGTTCTCAAGGTGAACGCATACCTTGACTCTAGGGGTCTAACAACTAAAAGTCAAGTCAGGAATCTTGGTGTGAGACAGACCTTAGTTTCAGCAGTCATGTCAAAGCAGTAACTAAATCAGCATATTATCATCTCAAAGACATTGCACAAATTCGATGTTTTGTTTCCAGTCAAGACTTGGAGAAACTTGTTCATGCCTTTATCACCAGCAGGGTGGACTATTGTAATGGTCTCCTCACCAGCCTTCCCAAGAAGAATTCTTCGCTGCTGCCAGAATTCTGACTAGAAACAGAAAATCTGAGCATATTACACCAGTCCTTAGGTCTTTACACTGGCTTCCAGTTATATTTAGGATTGATTTTAAAGTACTTTTACTCATTTATAAATCACTCAATGGCCTAGGACCTAAATACATTGCAGATATGTTCACTGACTATAAACCTAACAGACCACTCAGATCATTAGGATCGAGTCAGTTAGAAATACCAAGGGTTCACACAAAACAAGGGGAGTCCGCTTTTAGTTATCATGCCGCCCGCAGTTGGAATCAGCTTCCAGAAGAGATCAGATGTGCTAAAACATTAGTCACATTTAAATGCAGACTCAAAACTCATCTGTTTAGCTGTGCATTTATTGAATGAGCACTGTGCGATGTCCGAACTGATTGCACTATATTTTATGTATAATCATTTTTTATGTATAATCAATTTTAAACCTCTTAAATCAATTTTTAAATCATTTTCAAAGTTTTTCAATTCCTTGTTTTATTGTTGTGATTTTTTGTATTTATTATTATTTTCTTTTCTTTGATGTAAAGCACTTTGAATTACCATTGTGTATGAAATGTACTATAAATAAACTTGCCTTGCCTTGCCTTTAAAAATGAATAAATTGCAACCAAGTACTCACACCTATCCAGCTATTAAAATAAACGGAGTCTGATAAGCTAAGGCAGTGTATTTGTGTATACAACACTATGAGAAAATCTCAAATCATTCCACTCTCAAAGAGAAACTGAAGCTACAACATAATCCTACTATTTTATATGCTTTAAAGGAGCATCAGGTCAGGCTATTCTGCTCTTAATGCACAATAAAAGATGCCGTTTGTAAAGATAGCAGCTTCATTAAAGATCACCCCCCACTTTACCCAACAGATATTTAAATACAGTACAAGTTTGAACAGATACACACAGAAATAAACCAAACTGAACACATTAACACCAAGGAAATAATCTCATAATCACTGGATTTATGGCACTGGCGGTGTTGTAGACAGTTCCACTATTTGTAATTTCCAAAGTCGGTTCACAGTATTGTCTTAAAACATCTTGTAGATTCTAAAAATATATTTCTATATTTATAGATCGGGTTGTGTACCACAGTATTGTTGATGTTGTCAGAAGTGTGGTATGTTCCAGCTCAGGTCTGGTTGCACAGTGCTTCAGAGTCGCTCAATCTCCCTGCGATGAGACAAAGAGAAAACCTTCGTTTGAACCATCAAACACTGTTGTACTGCATCAGTCACAGCTCAGCTGACAAATACTTACCATTACTCACTATAACACAGCTATTCTTGTGAGGTCACCTGGAAAAAACAGAATCAAGGAGTTTAAAATTGACCATGTTAAAATGACCTGATCTCCATGCATGACATGGAAGGAGCATGTCATTTGCAGTAATAGTTGTGGCATGTTGCATGCAGCACCCGTGGCAATATTTGTACAGTTGCACGGTTAAAATGAACATCATCTCGGCACTCAAAACAGGTGCCTGGAAGCAGCCTGGGGATATGTTCATTACAATGAAATATCCATTTGGTTTAATGGATATTTCATTTCTATTTCATCTAATTTCTATAGCAATTAAAAAGAAATAAAGATTTGATATATGATGCAGCACACTCATGACACACTGTTGGCATATTTCCCAGAAGATTCATCCAAAGTTTGCTGCTTAAAAATGGTTTTGGGGCAAATGACAATATGGATGTGAATACAGAAACATAAGAGATATTATTTATCTTTTTGGGGAGTTTTGTCGTAAATAAAAACCACTTGTTACATGCATGTTGTAACGGGGCTGACGAGACGTGAGACGTGTGGATCCATCTGCAAACTTTTATTCAAGAGACGTGGTATAACAGGCAGGGTCGAACAATGGCAAACAGGTATATGGCGGGCAAAAACACAAGAATAGTCCTAGGGCTAGCGTAGGTCACCGATCGGCAGACAGAATCACAGGGGCGAGATGAGAGGGAGAAATCCAGGAAAACGGGCAAAGATCAGAAACCGCAAAAACAGGCAAGGCAAACCAAGGAAAACACGGCGACTCAGAAAGGGGTACAGGCTAAACAATACTCAGCAGAGAAAGGTGGTTAGAGTGGGTGTTATATAGTGAGTGAGGTGATTAGAAACAGCTGTGTGCAATGAGTGCAATCAATGCCGTGTGCAAATCGTGCAAAGAATGATGGGATATGTAGTCCGGGGTGCTATGCAACAGTTTGTGTTGTGCGAGAGTCAATGTAATGGAAAGGGTGACCTCTGGTGGTGAATAAACGGAAGTCCATGGACCAAATTCGTGACACATGTATTATTTAATTTAATTTAAGGAAAAATTAATGCTGACAAATGACAAATGTTTGAGTTTTATTTTTTGATGCATTAAAAAACTTTCACCAAGGCTACGTTTATTTGATCAAAAATACAGTAAAAACAATAATAGTGTGAAATATTATTAAAATTTTTATATTACATTATATTTTGGAATATAATTTATTCCTGAGATGCAAAGCTGTATTTTCAGCATCATTACTCCAGTCTTCAGTGTCACATGATCTTCAGAAATCATTCTAATATGCTGATTTACTGCTCAAGAAACATTTCTGATTATTATCGATGTTGAAAACACATGTGCTGCTTCATATTTTTGGAAAAAGCTAAACATTTTTTTTCAGTATTCTCACTGAATTAAGATGCTGTCTAATTTTGTTACTGTTTAGGAGCATAATAATGCAAAGATTATAAATACAAATATAAGTAAAACGATGACTAATGATGGTTGGTTCAGTCATTTGCCATGGTTGATAATTTGCATATTCCAACGTATCACATGCAAAACTCTCTGACATTCAAACTGCTCTGGTACGTGTATTAATTTGGACAGAAGCTGATCTTACTGCTGCATTATCGTTTTTGCTTTGAAATGCTCTATAAAAAGGTCTTTGTAGGCCTCTGACTGTATGTTTAAGTGTCTCACCAGGACGTTCTTGTCCTGTTCCTGCGTGTGTCTGAGTCGTTCCTCCATCTTCAGCTCTCTGTTCAGCTGCTTTTCTAGATCATGTCCATAGAAATCCCCAGACTCCAGCGCACCTGCTGCCCTATGAGACCAGAAACACTGTAAACATGTGCCCAGGAGATCTGGACAACACGTGATCCGCCAGTCAGCAGGTGAAAACAGCAGATGATTTAGTCCAGCTTGTGTTACCCTGATCTTGAAGCGCTCCTGGCGTGGAGAACGTCTGATGTTGGGAACGTGAGGTCAGAGATGCTGTCTGTTTCACTCCCCACCTCTAAACATCATCGAAGACAAAAGTCTGAACATCAATGAATAATGACTTATTCTATAATTATAATAAAATAAGTGCATCAAATTTGATATTACCCGAGTTAAGTTCTTTCACCAATGAAGACATTGTGTTGGTTATGGAGTCTGCAGCTACCAGGAGATCATTTCTTAAGTTCCTTCTGGAGCCTTTAAAAAAGAAATCAAATTATTTAATATTATTTAATAATAACACTAAATGTGTTTTCAACATTGATAATAATAAATGTTTCTTGAGCAGCAAATCAGCATATTGGAATAATTTCTGAAGGATCATGTGACACTGAAGACTGGAGTAATGATGCTGAAAATTCAGCTTTGATCACAGGAATAAATTACATTTTAAAATATATTACAATAGAAAAGAGTTGTTTTAAATTAAAGTCATATTTGACAATATCAACGTTTTTACTGTATTTTTAATCAAATAATTGCAGCCTTGGTCAGCATATGTTTTAATGTTTCAATAATTAAAAAAAAAGTTAGATTATATTAAATTACATAAATATTAATATTTAATAACTGCTACTTTATAATTCAGTAATTTTATATAAGATATTAAAAGTCACCAGGTACAGTTTTGATTTAGAGATAATTGCATTTCATACTTTAACTCAGTTAGTGCAGTTTTTACATGGAAATGCATTTTTACTCCAGAAATATTTTAGAAAACTTCACAGGTCAAATATTAAACATGTTTTTTGCTGTATAATTCACATAAGTCACATCTGTCCTATTAAACCCTCTGTTTTAGTCAACCTAGGATATTCCTATAATGTCAAAATGCAGTATCACCTAGTTTTATTTTGTCAGGCCAGGTGAATGTATGAAAACACAAGAGGAACATGTGTGTTACCCTGAGCGAAGGCCTGCTGCACCTCTCCTCCCAGGCCCATGAGCGAGTCCTGAGGTGTCTGACTGGGTGTGGTATTGCCGGATGTTGATTGGATGGGCATGGGGATGGGTGTGGTATTGCCGGACACTGATTGGATGGATGTGTTGATGGTGTGGCTGGGGGAGGAACGAGGGGAGGGGCCAGGGCCCTGGTTCTAGGAAACAAAAGGAGATTATCAGGATATTATATAAATGTAATGTTATACATACTTAAACCTGGGTTGTTACTAAAAGTATTAAAAATACCCCCCCAAAAACAAAATTATTAAAACTGAAAAAATATTTTTTTAAAAAAGCGAATTAAAAATATAATATGTGACCCTGGACCACAAAACCAATCTTAAGTCGCTGGGGTATATTTGTATTAATAGACAAAAATACATTGTATGGGTCAAAATGATCGATTTTTCTTTTATGCCAAAAATCATTAGGATATTAAGTAAAGATGTTCCATGAAGATATTTTGTAAATTTCCTACCATATATATATATATATATATATATATATATATATATTAAAACTTAATTTTTGATTAGTAATGTGCATTGCAAAGAACTTCATTTGGACAACTTTAAAGGCGATTTTCTCAATATTTTGATTTTTTTGCACCCTCAGATTCCAGATTTTCAAATAGCTGTATCTCGGTCAAATATTGTCCTGTTCTAACAAACCATAAACATCAATGGAAAGCTTATTTATTCAGCTTTCAGATGCTGTACAAATCTCAATTTTGAAAAATTGACACTTATGACTGGTTTTGTGGTCCAGGGTCACATATAATAGTGTATAATTAACACTGGCTTAATCATAAAAAGTCTACAATATTAAGCGCTCATAGTGTCTGAATGAGTGACAAAACATTAAATAAAATACATCAAGTCAAATATTTGTAAATTAAATAATGATTAGCAACTTATTATGAATAACAGTTTGTAACACTATATATAATGTCCTTTTGCAGGTAAGGTTCTAGAAGTAAACTGTTGGTTGTCTTAAAATCTGATTGGTGTTATTGGTGGTCAAAAGAGTAAACTCCCATTAGGATTCTCAGGCTTCTTTTTTTTTAGACAGTCATTTATGTCTATAGCACAAACAATGAGTTACACATCAAAATGTATTATTATTTAATACAGTGTTAGAAGTTTGTTCAAAAACTTATAAAGAAGAATTCGAGTATGTAATCGACATGCCCAAATGTAGTCTGTCTGAATAACAGCATGCATTTACTTTGATTTGTGCAATGCTAAATGAACAAATGTAAGTCCTGGATGCCAAAGACACAACCAACACAAAACATTTCTTGAGTTTAATATTAGGAAGAACAAACACACAGCATACAGTTAAGCTCGAGTAAGTTGAAGTATATTAACCCAGTTTTGTTACAAGGCTCTGAGACTTACAGCTCTTTTTAGCTCTTCTTCCTGTAGATGGAGCAGTTCAGCTCATTAACATGAAACTCTGCATGTCTACATTCTGAATTTAACTTCTTAAAATCGTGTCATCATCATTTGTTGTGTGTTTGTGTGTGATCTTCTCTACCTTCAACAGAAGCATGAGCTGCTCTAGTTGGACCATGAGTTCTCGACGGCTCTCCTGAAGGGCCGACATCCTCTGCTCCAACTCCTCCTTCCTCTGCCTGAGACACAAACAGACCAAGAAAGCCACACAGTTATCAATATAACTTCGACATTAACCAAAAATGAATTGTGCAACCATAAACAGCCTGATTTTTGACCCTATTTGCATGTGCTATTTACCACCATATTTAATAAATAAATGATACAAATTAGGTAATGGTGTAAACACACCCACACTATCAGTGCTGAACACAATTTGCAGGGTGTAGTAATGCTTGGTTAAGTCAGTTTATGATTAAGATACATAATCCCACATGACAAAATGTTGCAAATGTTTAGTGAATTCACCCAATATGTTTGTATCAGACGTCTACTTTCTACTTCTACGTCTACTAAAGAAATATCAATCATTAAAAGCATGTGCGTAAAAATATATAACATATAAAAACTACATAATATAAAATATATAAAAAAAAATAAAAAAAAATTATTGTAATAAAACAAGAAAAAAAATAAACATATAAATATAAAAATGAAAAATTACCATATTCTTCCCTGGGAACCATATTCTTTAACGTGGCACTTGCAGTAGGTTTTATTTACAGGTAAAATCTAATTTCTATAAATGTAATTACGGTGTTTATAAAACCATCTATCATGTTCATTATGAAAGCAGTAATAACAACACATTTAGAAACCAAAACTTGTGGGTAAAGATATAAAAATGAAAATTGACCATAGTTCTTCCCATGGAATCATATTCTAAACTGTGGTATTTGCAGTATACTATCAATAACAGGTAAAACCTAATTTCCATAAATGCAATTATGGTTTTTATATAACAAACTATAGCGTTTATTATGAATATAGTAATAAAAACACATTTAGAAACCAAAACTGCCACACAAAACACTTCCCTAATAGATTATTTAGTATGAATCTAGAACCAAAATATCATGTTACAACAGTTAATATTACTAGAGAAAAACCACAGTAAACTTTCAGAATTGAAAGACTGGTGATGTCCACAAACAGGAAGGAGTCTCAGTGTTGCAAACTGCTTTTAAAGTGCTTTCACTCATTCATGAGAAGAGCCGTGATCAGGTTACACTCACTTTCAATGCCGTCTATCTCGTAACCATCAGCATCTGTTGTTCACCACATATGATCAGGTTTCATGGCTGTACGCTGCGTGTGCGTGTGCATGTGTGTGTGTGTGTGTGTGTGTGTGTGTGTGGGTTACACTCACTTTCAATGCCGTCTATCTCGTAACCATCAGCATCTGTTGATCACCACATATGATCAGGTTTCATGGCTGTACGCTGCGTGTGCATGTGTGTGTGTGTGTGTGTGTGTGTGTGTGCAGGTCTTTACCTGAGCAGTCTCAGTTCAGCCAGTAATGTTGGGTTTTGTTGGCTTTTGTCTAACGGAGGCTGGGAAGCTTCTTCATGTTGTTGTCGCAGTCGTTGGATCTCTTGCAAAATCTCCCTGAAAACACACAGTTTATTCATTTTAAGAATGCTAATTCAATGTCACTGTGCAATACTAAAATAAACAGACTCAAACTCACTTGTTCTTGTTCTCTAGCTCAGCGATAAGTTGTCGCTGCTGTTTATTGGAGTCCAGACAGAGAGAGATGTCCGCCGGGACTCTGGTCTTCTGTTAAGAGTTATCAGGTTGTATATAAAGTCAATGAGTTGTTTACATTAATTTATTTGCATACAGTATATTCATAATAATTAAAGTCAAAGTGTGTCATTTCTGTGCCAAAAGCAGCATCACAAGCACAATTGCATGACTGCATAATGTTTGTTTCCAAACGGGTTTCCCAAACAATCCAATTGCCCATTACATCAATCTATTCATGTAAAGGAAAAAACTCAACTTTTCTAATTTAATTTATTGCATTTTATAAAAATAATGGCATTGATATTCAGTGAATAATGGAAAGTTTCTCTGATTGGCTGTCTTACCGCTGCAGCTCCATCAGCAGCCAATCGGGAGGCGTAACGGGCAATGAGGAAATGCTCATCATCTTGGTTTTTACAGCTCTCCTGAAAACTGAAGAACATAATTTTAGTGAACATATCCACCAGTACTATCCTAATAACAGAAACCAGCACACGTAAACACATTTCAGGATCTAAGCGAAGCATGAAGACCACAGAGCCCCAGTTTCCCAAAAAAGCACTGCAAGGTTTGGAGCAAAGGCCAGAATAATCTCAATATTAGACATCTTTGCTGGAAAACACAAGAGTGCTGTCTAATGGGAAAACATATGAAACATGTAGCCATAGGTAACCAGTTCATTCAGAGATACTGGTGACTCTGAGATCCACTATCACAATCATGCCCTTGTTTAAAGACTAGTTGCCAAGCCAAAAATGGATAATTGATTGTGAATTTTGTGTTCTTGCACATCAAACTGACACAAATCTCCCCAAATATGACACACACTTCTACACAAAAGACCCACATATAATAATAATTAATATATTTGTCATATATTAATCAAATTAGAAGTTTACACACTATTTGAATAATGGATGGGAACAAAATAATATTCCAAAAGAGTCCATAAAATGTTTGTAGAATTGGAGGACAAATTAGATTTTGGGATTGATTCAAGTTGGCAGAATTTATTTAACAAGCGAGAGATGCTATTAATAGTTCTCATTTTGAACTATTGTGCACATACACCTGGTGCAATAGAGCGCTACAGTGAACGGCACTTTTTTTTCTCTGGTTATGGATGTATTTTTTTTAATCCATTTTCTCCTTAGCCAATTAAAAAGTTATGAATCCAACTAATAGGCTCTGAAGAGAATCATAGCATTACAACATGTGATTGCAGCAAAAAATACATGAAAATCTGAAAAAAGTACATACAAATACAGTGATGAGGGACTTCTCATCCCACAAATATTATATTTATGTATTTATCTGAAGTGACACTGCATTCACAACATGCATTTTATCACTGGGATAAAATGGGAATATCATGGGAATAAAACCCATAACCCTGGAGTTGCTAACACCACAATCTACTCACAGTGAATGACATTTTGAAAGACATAATTAAAATAGAAATGACAGTAAAATATAAATATATAGATTATAAGTCAAGAAGCATAAAACAATATTTTCATGCATTTATAAAACTTATATTGTATAACAGCATTATGGATAGTGTAGTTCTTCACTGAGAATTCAGCAATTAAATATGATTTTGAAATCACATTCTATAGAAGCATATTTTATCACTATACAACCTCAGAGCTCTTGGTAGTTCTGTACTGAAAGGTTAATACATTAGCGCTAAAAGTCAGTCTCTCTATGGGGAAACTGAAGGGCATTTTTACTTCTGGACTGTTGCGCTCTATGGCAGTGAAATGTAATATGTTTAACACAGAGCAAATACACTGCTTAAACACAACAAAAGCCTGGCCAGTTAGCAAGCTGCAAATACAAGACAGCGCAGTGTCCAGAATAGTCACCATCCCACATCTGGTGTCCTTTCTAAAATGCAGAAATTATATTACATACTGTATATTTAAACTGTGGAAAAAAACCTGCACTGTTTCCTCAAATGATAGTTTGACATTAACAATGTTACATTGAATTCTGGGTATTACCAGACTGACATGGTGACCTTGGAGCTCTAAAAACAGATTAGGAAGAAAACTGCCACAGCAACCTCAGCAGACCGACAGCTCACACTGACCATGAACGGTCCTTTCGGAGGAGATTCACATAAAGTCCGATAAGTATGTGCTCATCAGCGAGCCTATCGGCAATATCGAGGTTGTACTGAACCCTGAAACCATGTTTCAGAAACACAGATGAGATGAAAAAGTAATGGAGCCTAAAAAACATCTTCACACGATCTCAGCTTCTTACGATTCCTCTATAAAATCATGCATTATTAGAATGCATTAATAATAATACAGAATGCATTTGTAATACATAATGCAAATAGACTTTAGTTAGAGTTGATGACATATTTAAAAGAATAGTCCACTATTCAAAATGAAAATTTGCTCAAAATTTCCTCACCCTCAGGCCATCTGAGATGTAGATGAGTTTGTTTCTTCATCAGATTTGGAGAAATTTAGCATCACATCACTTGCTCTCCAATGGATCCTCAGCAGTGAAAGGGTGCCGTCAGAATGAGAGTCCAAAGAGCTGGATTTGTTTCTTACAAACATGCAGCTTTTCACTTCACAAGAAATTAACTGATGGACTGGATTATTGTGATGTTTTTATCAGCTGTTTGGACTCTCATTCTGACGGCACCCATTCACTGCAGAGGATCCATCGGTGAGCAATTGATATAAAGCTAAATGTCTCCAAATCTGTTCCCATGAAGAAACAAACTCATCTACATCTCGGATGGCCTGAGGGTGAGTAAATTTTCAGCTCATTTTCATTTTTGGGTGATGCAGTTGAGTTGTGTGAGATGGAAGTACCATCTATTTTGTCATAATGTTGACAATAAATTGAAAATTAGTTTTTTTATACATTTGCAATGGACAAAGACATCTTCTCAACCATTTTTGTCTGAACTAACAACAATCATGTACAAAACAGTATGACATGTTAAATGGGCTGTACTTCAATCCCTCACAGCCTTGTTTTTATTTGCATCTACTCAAAACAGTCCCATGTATCTAGTGACATTATTTCATCCAGGTTGACTTACCCTTTCCCTTTTAAAAGATCTGGGGCCGTCCGGGAAAACAGCTTCATTTGCTTCGTCTCATCGTGAGCACCTCTTTTTACCCCCAAAATGAGACATAATAAAACAACAAGTTAATGAGCAACACATGTACTTACACAAACATGTTTAATCCACACCAGTGTCATTTTAGTATCATTTATATACTATTATAGTATGTATTAATATTTTGAATTAGCTTTCATTTTCGTCATTTCAGTTTTCTTTATTTAAAGTTTTAGTGCTGTTGTAATTGCTATTAGTTTTTTGTTTTTTTTTAAGATTTTGATTTAGCTTTCATTTTTTTATTTCAATTTTAGTTTTAGTACTTCAATTGAATTCTTATTTCGGTTAGTTTCCAAGAAAACATATCCAATTTTCATTTAAGTACGATAGCAGCCTGTCTGACTGAACATAGAAATAAAAGCATAACAGACATAACAAGTTCATGATGTGAGCTGAAGCTTGAATACTTTAAGCTCAGATTTATGCTTGTACACATACGCCTATTGAACGTGTGGTACAGTAACAGACTCACGTTTTGCTGGAGTAAGGGTTTCCTGAGGAAGGCATGGAGTGAGAGAGCATGTATTCATTTCCACTGTTCACAGGTCTGGGAGGCCTGGAGGAAATGCAAACAATAATTGTGGCGCTGCGATAAAAGTGTGTCCGTCTGCATAGTGTCAAACATATCAGTGCGTCTAAGATTAGTTTCCCCACATCAATATTGTGAAATCATATAATATATGAGAATATATGACTCCTCATCTCACTTTACTTACCATGTGTCCCTGTTTCGCAGCATAAAAGCAAAAAAACACAAGGCAGGACAATGTTAGCATGCACAATTTCTGTTACATTCAGCGTAATCCAGTCAATCATTTTACACTAAAGAGGATTATTCGAGCAAAAATATGGTCATGTCTGAGTTTACATACCCAACATGAGTGAAGTTGAGCGGTTTCTCAGGGTTATCGGAGAACATCGGGTAAGGAGGCTCTCGACTGGTGGCACAACTCAGAGATTTACTGAAAGCGTCTGACAACTTCTTAGCTGGAGATTTCTGGAGCAAAATAAAGGACTGTACTGAACCAGAAGTGAAAATATTTATAAAAATATCCATGAATATGTTTAACCATATAATGAAAAACAGGATTTTCTTTGCTCTTTTTAAATAAATATAAATGTTTATGTAGAAATACTCAAAGAATATCATAAGAGAGATTACTTACATATAGAGGTCTTAAAGGTACAGTAACTAATAATAAATGTTTAATTATAATAGTCAGAGACAGGGTGGAAATGGTCATGTAAAACTAATTATTTACCTAAAAACTAATTTTGTGTAAAGTAAGTGTTTATTTATTTTCAGCAATTTTTGCATATTTCATTTGCCTGTAAGATCAAAATCTGTAAGATTTGTTTGAAGAAATTAATACTTTTATTCAGCAAGGATGCATTATATTGCTCGAACGTGACACTAAAGACATTTATAATGTTACAAATAAATGCCGTTCATTTGAACTTTCTATCATCAGAAAATTTAGAAAAAATCCAACATGAAGTATCATGAAATGTATGTTTCTTGAGCAGCAAATCAGCATATTGGAATGATTTCTGAAGGATCATGTGACACTGAAGACTGGAGTAATGATGCTGAAAATTCAGCTATGATCAAATAGAAAACAGTTATTTTAAATAGAAATAATATAACGATTTTAATAATGATTACTGTATTTTTGATCAAATAAATGCAGCCTTGCTGAGCGTTTCTTTCAAAAAAACATTTAAAAAATCTTCCCGACCCCAAACACAAGTTAACTTAACTAAAATCTAAAAGTAATTTAGAGAAGAAAAGTAAATGCTACCAAAGTGGCAAATTCAGTGCTCAGAGTTCATTAGACTGGTGTCAGGAAATTTAGTATAAAGGCATACAGTGATTTAACAGTGATTTTTGGCATACATTGTCAAAGGCTAAAGGCTGTTTGGATGACAGGACTGGCACTTACGCACAGTCACGTTCCCACATGGCCGTTCACCTACCCATGACATGTACTCCTTCATCTGGTGCTGGTTGCTATGGCTGCCCGAGGCATGGCCTCTCCAGAAACACTCTTGGCAGAGTTGGTAATTATCACATTGTTGGCACCGGTAGCGGAATCCCATCATGCTCTGGCTGTGGCAGTAGGAGCACTCCACAGGATGGAAGACTAGAGAAGAGATAAGCAAAATCAAGTCAACACTACTAATTGAACGCTGTCACAATATTTGTCATTCATTTAGGTTCTGAATGGCTGAAGGAAGTACTAACATATCACTAAGCCATATGTATGGTTTGCTACAAAAATGAAATAAACATGCTTAAAACGCACCGTTCTCAACGTTTGCCAACCGATGCATCAGCGGTAACCAAACCAGACACTGAGGAGGAGGATCCGACATGAATGTGTCAAGAAACACATTGAGCGAGACCTTTTTCTGAGGAGGGACAGCAGTTAGTATACAAATGAGTTAATAAATACCATGTGTGTACAAGAGAAAAACATTTTGTTTGTTTGTTTAATTCTCAATAAATTGTGAATTGCACATGCTGTTGCTGTTCCTATGCATTTGAAACTGGGTGGTTGCTGGTTATTGCCAGGGTGTTGCTTATTATTTTCACCTGTTTTATTGTCTGCCCTGCAAAAAATGTACAGTAACGTTTAAATGTTTGTGGTCGGTAAGATATCTTAATGTTTTTTTATGCTCACTAAGGCTGCATTTGTTTAATCAGAAACACAGTAAAAACAGTAATAGTGTGAAATATTATTACAATTTAAAATAACAGTTTTCTATGTGAATATATTTTAAAATGTAATTTATTCCTGTGATCAAAGCTGAATTTTCAGCATCATTACTCCAGTCTTCAGTGTCACATGATCCTTCAGAAATCATTCTAATATGCTGATTTGCTGCTCAAGAAACATTTTTTATTATCAGTGTTGAAGACGGTTGCACTGCTTCATATTTTTGTGCAAAACTTGATATTTTTCTTTCATGAATAAAAAGTTCACATAAACAGGATCACTTTTAACATTATAAATGTCTTTACTGTCACTTTTGATCAATTTAATGTGTCCTTGTTGAATAAAAGTATTAATTTATAAATTTAAAAAAATCATACTGACCCCAAACATTTGAACAGTTGTGTCTGGTTGCTTTATGCATGAAATCATTTTAAAAAATAATCGCGAACCTCTTGTGGAAAGCAGGTTCTTGTGGACTGCTCAGTGTACCCAAAAGATGGTCCCTCAAAAATCGTCATGGGCAGTTTCAGCACCTCCCTTAGGAACTGGTCAAACTGCGAGTATATCATCACTCCGTTTGGGTCCGATATCTGTGAAAATACATCTTGCGGAACAAAAAGATGAGCATCAGGAGTGATCAGTTTCATTTTTAAAAAGAAACTATGTTAAATTAGATCCAGGTAGATTTTAATAACTTAATAATAAATGCATTTTGCAGGCAGGAAGAATGATTTCTGAAGGATCATGTGACACTGAAGACTGAATTAATGATGCTGAAAATTCAGCTTTAAATCACAGGAATAAATTACATTTGACATAATATTAAAATAGAAAAAAGTTTTTTTTAATTGTAATAATATTTCACAATAAAACAGTTTGTACTGTATTTTTGATCAAATAAATGCAGCCTTGGTGAGCATAAGAGGCTTCTTTCAAAAACATTTTAAAAATCTTCCCAACCCCAAATTTTTTAACAGTAGTGTAGTCTAAAGTTTTATTACTAGGAACGATTAACCAGAAAAGAGGGAAAAAGTTTTAGCTACACTGCCAAGGTCATAAGAGGTGAATATGCCTCGTGGTTAGAACTGACTTTCAAGTAATGACAGCTGCTCTGATCTTTAAAATGATGATAGAATGAGTCCATTCACTTAAGCGCCCATTAATCAGCATCAAAGCATTGAACACACATCAGTTCAAAGGCAAATCCAAAGTGAAACTTACATCTTAGTTTATCCAAAATCTTCCCTCCACAGAGGGCAGCCAGAGCCATCTTCACCACAAAAACCGACATCTTTCCCACACCTTCCCTAAAAAAGACATAATCATCAACTCACACATTTAAAAGTTCAGCAGTTTAAGTGAAGATTATGAAGAGTCGTCATGTACAGGAAGTGAAGCTTCAGATGAATTTTTTTCTTTCTACTCTTAAAGGGGTCATATGATGTTGCTAAAAAGAACATTATTTTGTGTATTTGGTGTAATGAAATGTGTTTATGCGGTTTAAGGTTAAAAAAACACATTATTTTCCACATACTGTACATTATTGTTTCTCCTCTATGCCCTGCCTTTCTGAAACGCGTAGATTTTTACAAAGCTCATCGGTCTGAAAAGCAAGGTGTGCTGTGATTGGCCAGCTATCCAGTGCGTTATGATTGGGTGAATACCTCAAGCGTGTGACGGAAATGTTACGCCCCTCACCATATTGTGATGATGCCCTGTCAGGCCGGAGCGATGATTCAAAAACATGAAAATCCATTATAAACGAGGCATTCGTTGCATCCAGTGGGGACATAATTATGGATTATAATGATTTATACTGTCTTTTTACACGTTGCGTTGCATCGCGCCGCGTAAACATAAAACCATGTCTGCATTTGAGATCGGAGAAATGACAAACAACAAGCGCTACTCTACACTGCTCAAAAAACTCGCTTTAAATATAAAAACTCTTTAAATATGAAAAACGTACTTACAGTCTGTGAGTCAGAACAGCCGGCATTGTAGTCTACTCTACCAGGATCAGGAAACAGTCCTCCATAAAATGTGCTGCACACATCTGAATATTTGGGTTGAAGTGTTCTGGAACAGTGTTGTAAATACAACTTAACCCCTGATTTCTAGTCGTGTCCATTTTTGGAAAGCCAAACAAAGTAGTTTCGCTTTCACAACGAAACACAGCATCACACACGGTGGCCTAGAGTGAGCAGCGGTGGCCTAGAGTGAGCAGAGGCCGGGGGCAAGAGTGAGGAACGGCCGGAGGGCTAAAGTGAGCAGAGGCGGATTTGATGAAGGAGGTTTGCGGCAACCACATGTGACGACCCCAGGCTAGACTCCGCGTCATCCACGGTGAAAGCTGATCCGGTGATCCACAGCGCAAAGTTGTAGTATTTCCTCAGCGACCAGCACGGATCAGCTCTAGGCATGACGAAGCAGATATCGTCCTCTTTTGGAAGGCCAAACAAAGTAGTTTCGCTTTCACAACGAAACACACAGCACCATCACGACACGGCGGCGGCGGCAACAATACTACAGCGAGAATAAAAGTTACGCCTTCTTTCTTTGCGTCAACATTTGGGCGGCTTTATGCAAATCTTCCCACATCGTGATGTAGACATGTGGGGCGTGTTAGAACGAGCCGTTTTAGGTAGGCGTGGCTGACTCTTAACTTTTATAAAGAATATCTCTTTGGATTTGAGACTTTAGTCTTTGCAACTTTACAGATCTTCTTTATGCACCAAGAGATTGTAACACTCCAAAGAGAAAGGAAAAATTGAAATCGCATCATATGACCCCTTTAAAGAAATGACATACTATATGCCATACATTAAGACAGATTTAAGGCAGCTCTGCAGGGTTTCTTACGGGTTGTAGGCCGCTAACAGGAAGTTGAGGAGGTACGAGATGGACTGGTCTACATTGATCTGGTGGGTTGTGGGCAAGCGCTTGTTCAGCTGGTAATAGATGGTGGACAGTATTGCTTGCAAATTTGACACTGAGAACTCTGTGTTGAGGTCCATGGAGTTGAGTCTGTTTTCCCGGAAAACCTCTATAATATTCCAGATATCCAACAAATGCACTGCGAGAAGTGAAGAACAAATGGCAACATCATTTCCAAAGACTAAAGTTACTGTAAATACTAAAAAAAAGTTGTATTCAGAACAATGGACATTCAGAACGTTTGTGTGAAAAACACTTACTAATGTAAACATAATGTAAAACAATTTTTGCAGTAAACTCCCTCATACTTACAATTGCACCTCTTCTGAATGAATCTCAGTTTGCATGCTGTCCTATAAGTGGACAATCTGATAGAGTCCAGATCTAGTGCACCTGTAAGATGAAAACATCACATCTAATGAAAGTACAGTACATGTCTAAACATGCAGCTTAAATATAGCCTGAGACATTTTAGCTGGTGTTTAGGTGGCTATGGCCAGTGGTCAAAAGCCCAAAACCTCTCTAAAACCAGCAAAACAGACTAGACTAAACAGCTTGGCTAGGTTGAAAGACCAGCTAACCACCTTAGGCTGGTTGAAGATGTTTTTCTCAACAGGGAAATCCATTCAGAGAAATGTTAGCATGACTACCATTCAAAAAGTTGGGGGTCAGTAAGATTTTTGTAATGTTTTTCAAAGAAGTCTCTTTTGCTCATCAAGGCTGCATTTATTTGAGCAAAAATACATTAAAAATAGAAATACTGTGAAATATTATTACAATTTAAAATAGCTGTTTTCCATTTGAATATATTCCAAAATTGTATTTATTCCTGTGATGCAAAGCTGAATTTTCAGCATCATCACTCCAGTCTTCAGTGTCACATGATCCTTCAGAAATCATTCTAACATGCTGATTTGCTGCTCAAGAAACATTTCTGATTATTATCAGTGTTGAAAATAGTTGTTCTGCTTAATTTGGTGGAAACCCTGATGCATTTCTTCAGGATTGGTTGATAAGCAGCATTTATTTGAAATAGAGATCTTCTGTAACCAATGTTGGGGGTTAGAGTTACGTAATCAGATTACTTTTTTTCAAGTAACTAGTAAAGTAACGCATATGAATATGCTTTAATTCATCTCACTCACAAAAACAAACAAAAAACAGATTCAGTATTCCTCAAAAATGAATAAAAATAATGCAACGCAGAATATGATGTAAACCTGTAACAATTAAATGTTAAACAAAGTAACGCATTACTTTTTAATTTATAAGAGAATATCTGAGTTACTTTTCAAATAAGTAACGCAAGTTACTGTTTTTTCCAATTTATTGATTGACAGCTTTTCTGTCCCCCATGTTGAGAGAAATCAGAAGATGTTACTGTAGTTCTAAAATAAATATGAATATGCTTTAATTCATCTCACTCACAAAAACAAACAAAAAACAGATTCAGTATTCCTCAAAAATGAATAAAAATAATGCAACGCAGAATATGATGTAAACCTGTAACAATTAAATGTTAAACAACACAAATATGCATTATGTATTTAATCCCATTCTATTAACCAGTGTCTTTGCTTCTGACCTTCGATGATCCATTTCAACCGTACTAATAAGCACAAATGACTCTAGACAAACATTTGTGTGTCTTTTTTTATTGCTGAAGTGTGTTGAAATGTCTTCTTCTGCATTCTACTGTACGGACGTAAATTTACTTTCCCTTCGGCCTGAGGCTTATTCATTTCACTTTTGGTGTGAAAAGGCTTTTATATTTGCCAAAAATAGAACTTTTTTTATTTTAAAAACAAACAAGCAAGCCCTGTCCAGATTTAAAAAGTAACGCAAAAGTAACGTAATGCATTACTTTCCATAAAAAGTAACTAAATAACATAATTAGTTACTTTTTTATGGAGTAACGCAATATTGTAATGCATTACTTTTAAAAGTAACTTTCCCCAACACTGTCTGTAACACAATGAATGTCTTTATCTATTACTTTTGATCAATTTATCAAAATGTATCAAATTGATCAAAATTGATCAAAATGCTGAATCAAAATGTACTAATTTCTTTAAACTTATCAACATGTTTACCATCATATCATAGCTTGAGTATGGAGTAAAACAGAGAAATACATACGCATTTCAGCAAACAGTTGTCTTCTGTCTGCCATGGCGCTGCTGTTGCGGCCTGACTCTTCAATCATTCTGCGAAAAACATCACACACACAGAAAACAAAGGGACAGTGTGACAGGCGTCCCACAGCTGTGAAGGCAAACTGGAGACTTTTTGAGGAATCAGTCTTCAGATTTGCATAAAGTTAATTAACTATTATTGTGGGTAAAACAACATCTATAATGTATTACATCATTCTCCAAAGTTTTGAGCCATTAATCCATCAAAACTCCACTGCAAATTTTATAAAACTGATCAAAAAAATGCAGTTCTCAAAATAAAACTACAAATACACACCAAAATGCACAAACTATCCATGCTGCAACTGCCTAACTTGGTTTGCATCTATCAAAAGACAGATACATTTGCAACAAAATAGTGAGTTTGATTGGACACACAACCATTGACGTCACCAACAAAAGATACGGGAAGCATTTTCTCCTCCCTTTTAAAAGTTGATGACACTATTTACTTTGCTATCCTAAATATACACAATTACATTGTTAGTTGCATTTCATTATTTGTACTGTATTTAAAGCATTGTGTGTTTCCCAGCTGTTTGCAAACCTACCAGAACAGACCTGTGACCCACCTCTGTATTAATATAAAAAGACATTGGTGTAATTCACGTGTTTATCTCCCATTCTTCTTCCACAGAGACCTTTTGTTATGATTCACATTACAGACAGTAACAGAGGTTTCGGACTCCACTTGTGACCTTGATTAAAAATAACATTTAGAAGATCACTGCCTTGTGGCATTCAGTATAATACTGTCTCATTTTACTGAGGAAACGGCTGTATCATCTAGTACAGGGGTGCCCAAACTCGGTCCTGGAGGGCCGGTGTCCTGCAGAGTTTAGCTCCAACCCCAATTAAACACACCTGAACCAGCTAATCAAGCTCTTATAGGCATACTAGAAACTTACCGGCAGGTGTGTTGAGGCAAGTTGGAGCTAAACTCTGCAGGACACCGGCCCTCCAGGATTGAGTTTGGGCACCCCTGATCTAGTACAACAAATATACAGAGCTAAAATAATTTATACAACAATTAAATTCTCGAATCTGAAAGTCTTGATATTTTTGGCATGGTACAATGGTAATTCCTTGACATACTTTGGAATAGTTCATGTAAATATGTACATGATAAATAGGGCAATCATTCAGTATGATGGTATATATAAAAAGCATCATACACTGAAAAACAATTGGTATAGAAACAATTTTACTCAGAAATTTATAGTAAATTTCACAAATAATTACAAAGAACATATCAAATTTTGAAGTAGAAAGACTGAAATAGTATTTTTTGTCAAATGTATTCCAATAATCTTTGGGGTTGGTATTTTTAATGTTTGCAAAAGAAGTCTCTTATGCTCTTATGCTTATTTGATCAAAAATAATAATAATACAGTAAAACAGTAATATTGTGAATTTTTGTATTTTCCTTCATAAATCATTCTAATATGCTGATTTGGTGCTCAAGAATCATGCAGCTTAATATTTTTGTGGAAAATATTTTTTGTGTGGAAGAGAATTTTTTTTGTGGAAGATTCTATATTGAATATAAACATTATGAATTTCTTTACTGTCACTTTTTATCAATTGAATCCATCCTTACTGAAAAAAAGTATGAATTTCTTTTTTTTTAAATCCTGCCAACCCTGAACATTTGAATGGTAGTGTACAGTATATACTGTATACTGGGGAAGTCGTGGCCTAATGGTTAGAGAGTCGGACTCATAACCCAAAGGTTGTGGGTTCGAGTCTCATACCAGCAGGGATTGTAGGTGGGGGGAGTGAATGTACAGCGCTCTCTCCCACCTTCAATACCACGACTGAGGTGCCCTTGAGCAAGGCACCAAACCCCAACTGCTCCTCGGGCGCCGCAGCATAAATGGCTGCCCACTGCTCCGGGTGTGTGTTCACTGCTGTGTGTGTGTGTTCACTGCTGTGTGTGTGCACTTTGGATGGGTAAATGCAGAGCACTAATTCCGAGTATGGGTCACCATACTTGGCCACATGTCACATCACTTTCACTTTCACTTTATTTACAGCCACAATACTTTTTTGTAAGGTGAAAAGTCGTATATGCAACCAATGTCTTAGTAAATTGATTTTTACTATCATAAACTTAAATGACATGCACTAACAATGATAGCATTTTATGAAAACTCACAAAAATTGCTTTTAAATTGCTCTGAGGAAACTTTAAAATCCTCTTCAAAACAGCAAGAGAAACATGAAGTTGATCTACTAGAGAAGTTAAACAAAGCTTTGAATGCTCAATTAACTTTAAGGAATGTTCAATCACAATCCTAGAGATCCAAGAGTTCAGCACAACACGGGGACAAAGCGCTACACATCCAGCCATCGATATCAAATTCACCTGCGGATGTGAAAAATATCCAGAATGCACTGCAAAAAATGAATCCATCAGTAACGTGACACTAATCTACCCTATTGAACTCACATCAGAGATAAACAAGCTGCCACAGCGTAATTTAGTGTTTTGGTTCACTGTTTCAACACCGCATCTATCATGTTAAACCAAATGGAAGAGATCTAAACAAGCTAATGCTATAAAAAGAACCAAAATATCACGAAAAAATCGAAGGAAAATCCAAAGCAGATACCCTTCGGAAAGCACCATGGTCCTCTTCTCGCTTAGTTATGAGCGACCACAACGAGTCCACAACTTTTAATAATGCTTTTCGTCAGGTCGAAACACAACAAAAACGGCCCATAGAGTTCTTGGCAGCCGACTGAAATAAGAACTCGCCAGGATCCAGCATGTGTCGCCTCTATCTTTAACTTCCAATGAGCGAGACTCACATTCTTGTTGGGCTTAGATGGCTGATTCAGATCTGGTTGCAAGTTTGTGCCATCTCCTAACCCTAGGCCTGGTCCTGCCTTGTTTGCAGTTTAAAGATTCTCTGTGTGAAATTATTAGGCAAAATGATGAGGCTACGCAAGAATGGCTTGCTAGAGAGGACTGTAATTCAAGCCCTCTAATGGGACATTTCTAGAGAGATCCCATATTTCACAGAGTCGGTCTTCTAATCTTTTTCTCTCTCTCGTTCTCCTTTTATTGTGGCTCTGGGATCTCCGAGCCTATAAATATCCTTTTGGACAGTCAGTGGCATCCAGGCATTTTGAGCCCGACTCCATTTTTTGTCTCTCTGTGGGTGATTTATTTAGTAGGGCAGGTTGAATGAAAAACATGAAATTGTGTTTTATGATTTGGCTTGCGCTTGAAGGCGACTGACATATAAGGCGTACAGATCTGACCTCGAGGACAAAGTCATGTTCTACATAAAACAGCTGTTCAGAGTATCTTCACCAAGTAATTAGCGCTGGATTACTCGCATTAAACCGTCTGTGGGAGTAACTGATAGCAGATAATGCTACTGCATTTTTACAGAACCACATAAAGCATCTATTTGAGAAACGCCATTGCTAGATAACAGACAAAGCTGACATTAATACAGGCTAAAATTGAATATATTCATAAGGCTGCCAAACAATGTAAAAAAATACACAGAAATACACACACACACACATATATATATATATAAACTATTATATATTTGTGTTTTTATATTTATTATATTATATATGTGACCCCGGACCACAAAACCAGTTATAAGGGTAATTTTTTTTTAAATATACATAATCTGAAAGCTGAATAAATAAGCTTTCCATTGATGTATGGTTTGTTATGATAGGACATTATTTGTTCGAGATACAACTATTATACTGGAAATCTGGAATCTGAGGTTGCAAAAAAATACACACACACACACACATATATATATATAAACTATTATATATTTGTGTTTTTATATTTATTATATTATATATGTGACCCCGGACCACAAAACCAGTTATAAGGGTAAATTTTTTTTAAATATACATAATCTGAAAGCTGAATAAATAAGCTTTCCATTGATGTATGGTTTGTTATGATAGGACATTATTTGTTCGAGATACAACTATTATACTGGAAATCTGGAATCTGAGGTTGCAAAAAAATCAAAATATTGAGAAAATCGCCTTTAAAGTTGTCCAAATGAAGTTCTTAGCAATGCACATTACTAAACAAAAATTACGTTTTGATATATTTACGGTAGGAAATTTACAAAATATCTTCATGGAACATGATCTTTACTTAATATCCTAATGATTTTTGGCATAAAAGAAACATCTATAATTTTGACCCATACAATGTATTTTTGGCTATTGCTACAAATATACCCCAGCGACTTAAGACTGCTTTTGTGCTCCAGGGTCACATATGTGAATTCTTATATTTTTCTGTATTTTGCTTTGCATAGACATTATCAATTAAACTATTATACTTATAATAATACATATACGCATATGGCTTCACAGGTAAATCCCATTTTAGCCATTATTTATGCATTAATAAAATATGCAGTTTATGGAAATATCAATCAATTTCAATGTCTGAATGAAAAGAGATTTTGTTTACTTCTGCACATTTAGTCCTGTCTTGGGTTGCTGTGAAAGCTGTGTGAATTGGATTCCATGAGAACTCTATCCGCAGCAAAGTGAACCATTACCCAACCTAACTGCTTTTTCCACCAATCAGACAGAGTAACTGCCTGTATGCTGCACTGATTGTCATGGTACCACCATGAAGCAGCACAGAACTCTGGGTAAAGTCTCCCAGCCCATTCAGACTGTGATTTACACGTACATGTTTACAGGAAAGTCTTTCTAATGTCATCTTCTCATTCGTCTCCATTTGTTTTATGCATCTAATTAGATGAATTAATATAATGATGCACTTCAAAAACAACATGCAGTCTAGTTTCATAACATTATATGGCATAGCAAATAAAGAAATCACTTTTATGAACACAGATTGACTTTCTGTGCATGCAGAACCTACTATAACCTATTTTCCAAATGGCTTTCTATTCAAATTTCACTTAAAGTGCAGAAAATACCAATCAAATGTCAACACTGTTTAGGTTTACAATATAAAGTCCGTTTGTAAGATGTGAAATTTTATGAGACGAAACAGTAAACCAACCACATATAAAATACTCAATCAAATCCATGCAATTATATAAATATATTATGCATGCATAAATAAGCAGAATTTATAGGTACTTATTTAACCCCTATATTTAATATAATATTTCATAGTTTTGGCATTGCAGCAGATGATTTAGGACATAATGTTCCAGATACACACTATTATTAATATCATACTTGCAGAGTCTGCATGATGCCTGTTAGTAGTAGACTGTGGAGCGTTCACAATGAAGAGAGGCGTCTGGAGCTCTGTGCACTTGCTACTCACCAAACGCCTGTCATCGCCAAAACGGGTTTCAATTCAGCTCCTCTGCGTTCACTGAAGCCCATCTGCGCTAAAACGACGCGCTTTATCGACGACAATCTCGGCGTTTGAATACAAAAGTCTGTTTTCGTTCGCATTAGACTCGCGGAGAGCGGCGCGGAGCTCTGCTGCTCGTTTGCTTTGATGTGACGTAATGCGCCTCTCGCGATGACGTAATGCGGAATCTCTCCGCTGAACACATCCATCGGTGCTCTGCGGAGACATTAATAAATATTAGTCAATTAAAAAAAAATTTTGCATTATATTTTTTACATTTTAAGCCAAATTTGATGTGGCAAAATGTTATGAGCAAATAATTTGTGGGACAAATATATTATAAATATGAAAAATACTAAAAATAAAATATCACAACAACGAAAATGAGCTCTTATTTAATTTAATTTATTTTGTGGATATATATTTATAAAGTAAAAATGCTATGTTGTTTATATATATAGCAGTATTGAAGTAGTGGGTTTTTTTTTTCACTGTGGCGCAATGGTCCTAAAACGTTTCATTACCCACATGATTGTATTCACCATTCAACATCAAAACCTTCGCAACCCTGAAAGGCTTTTTTCACTTTCTCAGTTTTGTCTATTGTGTCAGCGGTGAATGAAGGCCTTCCTGTTGCCTAGTAACCGCGCGCGCGCTGTGAAAGCTGGGGGCTGGAAACAAAGTCTGAAACAGGCCGCGACGCGACACAGTGGCGAGATATGTGTCAGCATTTATCATATCGCGCTTGATGGGTCAAAAATAAAATAAATGTCATCAATGGCTCAACGTGCAGCGCTTTAGCAGCGAATAATGTAAGTAGTCAAACCTGTTATGTTGCTGATACATGCGACTATTAACCTTGTTTAACCTGCGTTCATTACTAATTAACTTCAGATAACTGTTCATTTTGTGCAGACGGTAGTTAAACAGCTGTTTTGATTAATGTCGATGTATGATCGTTCTATATAATGCCAATGTCGACCACATAAAAATCTTTAAAAAAAAATAATAATAAAATTAAAAAAAATCACAGTACCTTAGTAATGCTTTTTGATATCATCAAGCTTAGAGAAGCATTGGTTTTAATAGAATGTGATCATGATACATTCAATCATTGATTTTGATTTTCATAGATGTTTTTTGAGAGATGCCTGACATAAAGTTCCTCAAGTTTCCTTCAAGTAAAGGAGCATTCTGACCAGGTAAAGTGCAGTATTGTTTATCAATATTATTTGCTAAGCACGGAGTATACAGGGATCAGGATCCTTGATATATTTCCCAAACCATTGTGCAACAAAGTTGAGTTCGACAATAAACAATAAAGCATCCTAAAAGACAACAAGAAATCAGAACTGTCTATTTACTGTCTTAATGCATGCTTTTGGTCTTATTAAAATAAATAAATACAATTTAAAAAAATCACAGTACCATAGTAATGCTTTTTGATATCATCAAGCTTAGAGAAGCATTGGTTTTAATAGTATGTGATCATGATACATTCAATCATTGATTTTGATTTTCATAGATGTTTTTTGAGAGATGCCTGACATAAAGTTCCTCAAGTTTCCTTCAAGTAAAGGAGCATTCTGACCAGGTAAAGTGCAGTATTGTTTATCAATATTATTTGCTAAGCACGGAGTATACAGGGATCAGGATCCTTGATATATTTCCCAAACCATTGTGCAACAAAGTTGAGTTCGACAATAAACAATAAAGCATCCTAAAAGACAACAAGAAATCAGAACTGTCTATTTACTGTCTTAATGCATGCTTTTGGTCTTATTTTGATCATTTAATCCGTGCACATTGTTCTAAACAAAAAAATAATAATTGTCTTCACAATTTTCTATCATTCTTCACTTGGATAAAAAGCCCACCCTTTTCTATTCTGTATGCTGTTTCACTCTAAAATATGTCAGAATGTGGAAGTAAAATGGGTTGTGCATGCCATTTTATGTTGACCTTTAAAGGAATAGTTCACCATAAAATGTACTCACCCTCAGGCCATCCAAGATGTAGATGAGTTTGTTTCCTCATGGGAATAGATTTGGAGCAATTTAGCATTCCATCACTTGCTCACCAATGGATCCTCTGCAGTGAATGGGTGCCGTCAGAATGAGAGTCCAAACAGCTGATAAACACATCACAATAATCCACAAGTAACCCACACCACTCCAGTCCAGCAATAAATGTCTTGTGAGGGGAAAAGCTACCAAAATACAAATCCATAATCCATAACAACACTTCCTCCAGTGAAATAGTCCATCCCTTGTTGAACTCTTTTTGCTTGTAAACCGTGCTTGATCTGTGCATATTTCTCTCCTGATTCAGATGAGACTGCTTTTTCGTTAAAACCGTTTTCGTTTTGACGTTAAAAACATCTTAATGATGGATTTGTTTCTTACAAACATGCAGCTTTGGCTTCACAAGGCATTCATTGCTGGACTGGAGTGGTGTGGATTACTTGTGGATTATTGTGATGTTTTTATCAGCTGTTTGGACTCATTCTGATGGCACCCATTCACTGCAGAGGATCCATTGGTGAGCAAGAGATGTAATGCTAAATTTCTCAAAATCTGTTCCAATGTAGAAACAAATCAACTACATCTTGGGTGGCCTGAGGATGAGTACATTTTAAGCAACTTTGAATTTTTTTGGGCGAACTATTCCTTTAAGGTTTCAGTATATATGATTCAATGTGAGATCTTCATGATCTCTGTGATCAAAGTCAGTTGTACATTTCAGAGCAGGGAGAGACTGTTAGCTCCAACAGGCATCGCTGCTGTGCTGAGGTTAACACTCCAGCACCATGTGTGAACAAAGCAGTATGTCATATCCAGAAACTGAAGCCCAAACTGGAAAACTGGGGCCAACAGGTAGAATCAAACATAACATGAAGAAGGACTGTATTATTTTATACCATATCTGACCAAGACTCAACCACAATAATTCAAGCCTTAGATCAAAACTAGTACCACGCAGATCCAACCCAGAATGAGCTCAGTTATATGAGTTGAATCACATCTTATTTTCTTTGCTCTCATATTACATAATGAATGAATAATGAATGTCTTCTCTATTCTAGGGTGATAATGCTCAGCATGAAACTGCACATGAAAACAACCACAGTATCATTTGGAAGTGAGCCATAAAGCATTATATATTTTTCACATCACAAAGATCAATTGAAACCATTTTGTCCAGTAAGACAGCACTTGTGATCAGCAGTCTTATACAGTATGTGGGCTCTAACATATCACCAAAAAATAATTGTAAATTAATTAATAGCTTAATTTATTAATATGATTGAAACCTTAGTGATTAAGTAGTGTATTTTTTAGATGTGTTTCTGCTGATGGCAAAAATGCATAGCTGTATATTGAAGGCATGGGACTTAATGTACAAGGTAATGATGGACAGTCTTGAATCTCCTTAATATTTTGGTTATAATATGCATTTAGTTTTCTTTATATAGTGGGGGATTTGAAATATTGAAGTATTATACAGAACTTTGGTGCATAACTCTATTTATATAATTATTACATTAAGATTTTTATATTTTCACTTTTCATTTTAATTTAATTTAGCTGTGCTTTCTATTAGAATTTTTATTATATATATATATATATATATATATATATATTTCTATTTAGCTTTATTATTTTTTCAGTTTTAGTTTTAGTAATATTAGTACTTCAACTTATTAGTATTATATATTATATTATATTATTATATATATATTATAATATTAGTTGACCAGGTAACATTTCAAATTTTTGCTTATATACTGCATATATATATTTAATACATTTAGCAGACACTTTTATCCAAAGCAACTTACAGTACATTCAGGCTATACATTTTTTACCAGTATGTGTGTTTCCAGGGAATCGAACCCACAACCTTTTGCGCAGCTAACGCAATGCTGTACCACTGAGCCACAGGAACATATATATATATATATTATACTTTTTAATTTTAATAGAAATCTTTATTTCAATTAACAGAAATAACAATAATCATTTGTAAATAAACAGTGCCACAGATGTCCTGATGGAGGTGATGAGTTTGATCGAGTGTCTTGAGTTGGACCGCAGAGAGGCAGAGAAGGCTCTACTGGAAGAAAAGGAGAAAGCAAAGAAACTTTCAGAGAAATTGCACAGCCTCCGTCTCTGGAAGCAGAATGAGTTTCTTATAGCAGTGCAGAAAGGCCAGACTGGATATTGATTACGGCATGCAATTTATGTTCAAACTGTTTTTTCCAGCTCTAACATTTTACTTCAGGCCCAGTAATGTGGTAATAAAGTGTATTCTATTCTATTCTATTACAATGTACAGTCAAAAATATTCAACAGGGTCATCAAAAACACAAAAATGGCTTGAGGAGCACAAATATAAAGTAATTTATATTAAATGAAATAAAGTACATGTTAAAGGCAATAAAATACAATATAAAAACTTAAAAGGATTTTATTTCAGTTAGTTATCAAGGCAAAATTTCAAATTTTTACATATATGGACTAAAAGCCACAAAACTTATGTTATGGGGTCTTTAAAAAAGTTGAATTACCAAAATAATCTCTTTTCTGCTCCATCCTTAACTTTTCGCATCTGTCTGTCTTATATTTGCACGGTCCGAGCATGAAGCCTGCAGCACAGACATCGCTGAGCTGACGTGGCAACTGGAAATGAGGAGAGATCAGCTGCGGCAGGTGAGAGACAGACTGACCCACACGGAGGTGCTGAACCGACGTCTGAAGGAGGATATCGATTTTATGAGGAAACACGGGCCGCTCGTGCACGAGAGACTCCAGCTGGAAAGTGAAATCATGAAGCAGATCCAAACAGCACAAAGTGAGGTGTGTTTACTGCGAAACCGGTTTGTTGGCTTGTTTAGAGGACCTGAAATCAATAAGACAAAACCAAAGAGAAGAAGGGATGTAGATCTAACTAAAAGAGTCCAGAACGTGCTAGAGGAGCGCAACAGAGACCACCCACTTTTTCAGAGGACTGGTTTTTCCAGTTTATTTTCTCTATTCAGGGATTTTCAAAGAATTCATCAATAAAGAGGGCTAAACTGAAGTGTTTATTTTGTGAATGAACTACCCACTATTATTATAGTATTATTTACTGTATATACTATTATAGAATTTAATAATATTTTAATTAGTTTATTTTTATATAAAAATGTATTTTTATTTATAAAAATATTTTAAGTTTGTTTTAGTAATTTTATGTGCTTTCGTCATTTTTATAGTTTTTTTAATTAATATTTCTTATTTAGCTTTATTTTTATTTCAGTTTCAGTTTTTAGTACTTCAACTTATTTCATGAAGTTGCCAAAGCAACTTTCTGAATTTCCTAATTTACTATTTTTCACCTAATATTTATATTTATTTTAATTTTATTCCTGCTTTCAGTTAACTAAAACACTTTTTTAATCATTTTACTTTTGGTTTACAATAACAACACTGACTATTCATCCCATGAAGCATTGTGAATGACATAATTGAGTCAAATTATTGATAAAACTCAAATACAATATTTGTAATTATTATAATCAAATACAATATATATGAAATGTTTTCCTACACATTTGGATAAATACAAATGTAAAAGTTGTTTAAGGAAAATCTGAAATAATACTGACTTCTACAGAAGCATTTAAAACTGCTAAACAACCTCTGAGCTCATTGCCTGTTTTGGGATGCCATTTTTACTGCTGAGCCATGTTGCCATGATAAACATTGTCTGACTATTATGTTTATTCATAAAGACATTGTCACAAATGTTCCTCTAGGCCAGTGAGAAGTTTTCAAACATCTCTCAGAAGCCAAAGAGTCTTCAGGAGGAGTTGAAAAATTAGGAATTCAGAGCAGACCTTAGGAAAGGAGAAATGAACAAAGAAATGGAAACGATCAGAAATCATATGAGTGACAAGCAGCGAGTCCTTTTTTGTCATCTGGATACAGACATCAGGCCTATATTTTTATTTCAGTTCACTCGTGTTATATCAATCCAGACAGAAGGTGTCACTAAAATGCTGTTCTCTCCGTCTTCACAGTTTAATGCCTATCCATCAGTGTGTAGGCACATTACAATATCAATATCAAAAATATGTTATGCAAAATCAGCCATTTTATAACACATTCTGCAGATGTAAATCACATTCTAATTCATGTTATCTTCATTTAAAGGCTGCACCTGACATTTTATGCCATACTTTTGACTTACATTTACGTCACACATTAAAATTCTTAAATTTTTGGAAATGTCTCATATGGAAAACATTGCTTAGAATCAGCCTTGTGGACATGTTTAGCAATTTTTATGTTACATTTATAGATTTTAGGATGTCTATTATACCAACCACTGCTTGTAAAAACACATATTGACATTGCAAATAAATGAAAAACAAATAGAACATGCTAATACCGATTTCTCTAGGTAAAACGATACTTATGAAATACTGACACAATCTGATGTCATTCAGCTGCTTCCCTCCATCTGTATGAAGCGGTATATAGACATGTAATGAGTACATGGGGAATGACACAGTTTCTCTTTCTCTGCCTACAGGAGTGAGTTACAGCAGCTGCAGTCTCAGTGTGAGGTGTTTCAAAGAAAAATTCAAGAGTCGATAGAAAAACTAACATTGAGAGTTTGAGAGGCAGGAAACAGACGTACATGAAGAAACCAGTATTCATTTAGAAAACATTCAACTGACAGTTTGCTCACAGGATATTAGATCAAATCCATAAAAATATTATGAAGACATTTTACATTTTTTGGAATATTCTGACTGTTACAATCATAAGCTCATGTTACTTCCTTTTTACATTTTTTTTATTAGTCCCTTGAAAGAGCTTTTGTACCAAATATTCATTTCACTTACCTTTTTTTCTTTTTTTTTAGGTCAGAACATTAAAAGCTGAAAAAGATGATAAAGAAGAGATATTGATGATAAAGAAGAAGGAAGTATTGCAGCTTCAAAACCAAATGCAAACATCTGTAAGTATAACAGGCTGTTATTTTAAATGATATAAATCAGAGGTGAAATTATGTGCCGTGTTGGAGATGTCAACCCTCGCGTCCTCTGGAGGGCAGGAAAGGCCCAGGATTCCTTGCACTGATCTGCCGTGTTTATTCTCTCAGAGCCTCCATTTTGTCTAAGCCCTGATTTCACAATTACACTACGCTTGAGTGAACGAGCCGCAGAGCGCTCACTTGTTTCTTTAGCCATTTGTTTATTCCTTTTTAAATTTGTATTTTGTGCATTTTTGATGTTGTTCTGCCACAACAGAGTTGCAAAAGTTTAGAAACTTTCCAAAAGAGCGAAACTTGGTTTGACCGTAGGTGGTGCTATATGATGTTTTAGATTTCATGAATATTTGACACATGACTGCTATAGTTTAAATATGAAATGAATTGAAAATAGGCTTATGCTTATGTGCTAGAACAAACAGTGGACCAGTGGAACAGTTGGATAATATATATAATTATATATATATATATATATATATGCAAAGATGATTATAAATATGATCTTTTGTGTGTGGTTAGACTTTCATTTTGTGCACAACATGTGAATATGGTTGAATTTAATAATAATTTTATTAAAAATTTTTAATTATTTGTTGAATTCAGCCTCCAAACAAAGACTTGACAATAGAAAAGTCCGTATTAGCATATATATCTACTAAATCGTGGCCTAATGGTTAGAGAGTTAGACTCGTAACCCAAAGGTTGCGGGTTCGAGTCTCATACCGGCAGGGATTGTAGGTGGGGGGAGTGAATGTACAGTGCTCTTTCCCACCTTCAATACCACGACTGAGGTGCCCTTGAGCAAGGCACCGAACCCCCAACTGCTAATGGCTGCCCACTGGTCCGGGTGTGTGTTCACGGTGTGTGTGTGTTCACTGCTGTGTGTGTGTGCACTTTGGATGGGTTAAATGCAGAGCACTAATTCCAAGTATGGGTCACCATACATGGCCACATCACGTCACTTAAATAGATGTAAATAATGGGCATTACTGTGTTTATCAGAAACTTGAAGGTGATGAAAAGGTGTCTGTATTGGATGCAAACTTAAGCCAAAAGCGACATGAGTTATTGACCCTGCGAGACAAAAACAAAGCACAAACTGGAAATTGAAGACTACAAGAGAAAGATCTACCAAAGGTTTGTCCAATAAGCTTCAGATCACACAACATTTTAGATTGAATTTAAAGTATATTCCTGGATATTACTGATCGTCACTAATGATTAGTTTTGTCTGCTGTGTTTTGCAGTAATTTGTTATGCTGTGACAGTAAATGGCCTAGTCTGCAGTTATTTCACAGTAAAATTCTGAATATAGTATTTTATTGTAAAATCCTGGTGATATATATATATATTTTTAAAGGTGGTGAATTGTGGTTAACTGCAATCAACAACATTATACTCACTATACATTCTATACAGTCCAATTTTCAAGCACAATAACCTAATTTTATCAGACAACAAGAAGTACGGCAAATAGATTTTTCATAGAACTGCAGAAAATGAAATCGATCCAAATGAAAAACAATCCACTGTTGGTATGGTACAGCAATAACAAATGCCGTTGCCTCCGTAAGATCTATGAAGACCATATGTTTCACACACAAGCCAATAGGGCTGTTCATGTGTTGCCGGTTTGTTGAAACTGTAACACATCATGAGAAACTATGACATGGAATAAAATCTGGATATACAGTAGTGATTCTTCCCAACTTGATACAGAACTTATGGATCAGCATTAGATTCCATGTTGGAGACTCAAATGACAACACTATGAGAAATGTGCTGGAGATGTCTTGTGGTTCATTGGCCTGTTGTGTGAGTGTTGGATCCTTTAATTATCAACCGCAGATCATGTCATGAAATCATGCAAAAACTCTAATTCCACTTCATTAAAAATGTCTAGGTGTGTGTGGCATTGCTTCTGAAATTAAAATGCTGTGAAGAAGCACCGCAGCATGAACTAACACAATGATTTAGCATGCAAAAAATACATTATCCACCTTATTTTGCAATGCGGATGTGAGCTAATTTCTGTGAATGCGCGAGACTTCCGAGACTATTGTCATTGTACATGCACAATGAAACGCTGAACTCTATAGGGAAGTAACTTTAAAAAAATAACAAACTGGTGCAATATCAAGCAGCATAATAGACTGTTTTTGTACAGCTAAAATAACTGGAAGTGGATGGCACGTTACGTTAAAAAGGTGTATAATCAAATGTTGAAATGTATGTATATTACCATGAACAGTATAGACCCAATGAAATGCAAATTTTAAAAATGCCGTTTTTTATTTAATTTTAAAAAGAAAGCATAAAAATTAAAGGCATAATATTATACAGTGTATATATATATAAAATACCTTACTTAGTTTCACTGATATTGCTGTAAACAAACTGCAGTTTGTTAAACGTTGTGTAAATGCTTGAGTTTTTACAAGAATCAGACTGCTTGTTGTTAATGTAATGCATAATGAACTAAACTTTAAGCATTGTGTCATAACTACTCCAGTAATTAATCTTTGATTTGGCATCTTGTGTAATCAGTTGGATGTCACATACTGTATCCAGAGTGTTTTCATTTCCAGTTGTGAAATTTGCTGAATGCTGTGCAAGCATTTTTGTGAGCAGGCTGCTGTATCGTGGAGTGGATCTCGTGGGACGGACTGTGTTTTATGATGTTGTTTGTGGCTGTTTTGTTGCAGTGAACAGGCTGTGAGAAAGCTACTGAAGGATCGAGAGCATGTCCTGCTGAAGATCAGTTTGAGCGAGAAGCAGTGGAAACCGGTCAAAGCCGAGTTTGACCAGGTGTCTGCTGTACACTCAGACACCAAAGCTGAGCTGGACCGTTTAGAGCGCCAAACCTTTCTGGAGGAGCTGAAGAACAGGGGAAGAGGACACCTGCCCCATTCAAATCTAAAGATTAGTTTTTTAGCAAGGTTACTGAATGAACAAATGTGTAGCCCGGATCCAAAAAATTTAAATTCTATCATCATTTACTCACCCTCATGACATTCCACACCTGCATGCAGTTTTTCCATTGAAAAAGTAGAATTTAAGAATTCTATCAACACTCATACACATAAAGGTTCTTTATTGGCATTGATGGGTCCATGAAGAACCTTCAACATCTATGGAAGCTTTTCCACTTCTAAAAGGTTCTTTGTAGTGAAAAAGGTCTTTCAAGACTTAAAATTGTCTTCAAATTAAGAAAAAAAAATGTAACCGAAAATGGTTCTTGTATGGCATCACTGCGAACCCCCCGAGA